CATTTTTATTTGAGCTCTTCTTCATTAAAAACGACAAATCCGGATTTTCATTCCCCTTTCCGGTTTGTACTTTACACAATCCAAGATGGCGACCATCACTAACTGAATACACACGCTATTTCAGCGTTGTCAAATGCAATCATATGGGAGTAAATTAATTTATAATAGATGTAATAAGTGTTTGTTTTGTTAATCCAACAGTAGGTACCTCAATTAATCACCTATTGACCATGCTAAAAGGATCCGGTGATAATTGCTTTAGGCTCCAGTGAGCACGCTTATTGCCGGACACCTGTGGGCTTGTCGTCCGGTCCCCCTCCCCACTAATTACAGGCCCCCTGTGGCAATAGGCCTATCGTGCAACTGACCAGTGGGGTCATTGCTGGACTTGGGTCAGCCGTGTGATTTAATCAGTGTCAATTTCTTGTGTAAAAAGACCACCTTCAGTACAAACAACAAGTCCACAGTTTAAGGTGATACGGGTCAATTAAGCTGATACGGCAGGGAGGATTTCAAAATGAAGCTGATACGGAGCCGTATCGGCTAAATGGCCTGGGGAGAACCCTGTTATATATCTCACTTGCTAATGTAATCGCCAAAACTTACCAATGGTTTTAATGTATTTGCGTTTATTTGTTATTACCAAAATTTGAGAGAAAACATACCAATGGTTTTAATAAAATGTTGCATTTAGGTGTTGTCACCTAAAAGAAAAGAGAAAACCTACCAATGGTTTTAATGTATCGATATCTTTTATTTTGTTCCCACTTAACGTCAAGTGTTCAAGTTTTGGACATCCTGAAAGGTAGTTAAGGTTTCCAGAAATTCTGTTGTCACTCAGTTCCAGCTGAAAATAACAGAATACAACATTTACTTATAAAATCCAGGGATAAGAATCGTCAGTTTCTGTTGAACAAAACAAAATTTCAAATTAAATTTTAAAATCAAAGAATAACAATCACTGAATAAGCATGATGCAATGAGTTTGTACAATACAGGTCATCACTGCAGTTCTAGTCTTATTCATAATTCTCATGAATGTTTTTCAAACTGATTTCAGGGTTTTTGCAAGGTGTTTTTAGGGTCCGGGTATGGGGACCCATTCCCAATTGAAAAATGACACAATATTAGCGAAAATTTCCGTCTCTATCTTCCAAATTAGATAAAAAGCATGTTTATACAAAAATTTCAGTCATTATATATGTGCAATTTTCGACGTATAACCGTCCATAAAGAGCATTCAAAATACATAAATAACAGAAAAACAAAAACACTGACAATTGATGTGTTTATCTATTGCTATACATTCATTTTACTGCAAGAAACAGCTAGGTGAAAACGTTTTGCAAATCACATTGTAGGTTTTATTTCTCAAAACTTATGATATTTTCCCGAAGGAGAGAACACTGCAGATATTTCCCAATTTTTGCCAAATGCTGATGATATTTTCCCCAATTCCTGCTAAGGGGACCCTTTCCCAAAATAGCTGGCAAAACCCCTGGATTTTCTACTACAACATATTTTAAATGCTTTTGACAACACATGGGGAAAATGTATCTGCAATGGATTTTTGTATTATTAGTGTTCTCACTAAGTTTTGAAATAGCCTTGAAGACACATTTGAACTCTTCCTATTCAAAGGCTGGAATAGTTCATCATGAAATTTCAGCAGTAAATGAGTTAACTCGACCAAGATATGTGCTGAAAAACAGTCATTTCAAAGTTGATGAATAGCCGGCTACTTTTGCCAGAAACCAGATTTTAATAGGAATTTGATTGATACAGGGATGAAGTTTGTCCTTACTTTCTTTAGATTTGGAAGATGTGGGAAGCCCTTTAATGTGGTGAGACCGACATTAATGAGACTTAGACTCCTCAGGTTTGTGTAGTCCTCTGTTAGTCCTTCAACTTGGTTTGCTCTGCAGTTGTCAAGGTTCAACTCCAAAATCTGTGTGGAAAAAATATAACATATCAATAAATTAGTAAAAATTTCACCCCAGCTGTTGAAGGACAATTTAAATTACCTTATCACCAATGAAGATTTATTTACTACCAAAACAAATGTAAATCTATATATTTCTTAAAAAAGATTTACTTGAAATTAATGTTTTTTACCAACATTTCAAGTTTCTTGAAATATTTTTCAATGATGATAATTTAATTGAATAATAAATGTGCATTGATCGACACTTCAAATTCCACAATTCATTTTACAAGTTAACACTGCACTGTCGCATAATAGTATTTTTTTTACATGAAAACAAGGAACTAGAACGACTGGAACTATTTTTCTGCTCTGCGCGTAGCTATACATAAATGAACTCTGATGACGATCACGTGACCAAGCACCTTGGCAAGCCATCGCACTGAACGCCAAGTATAAGCAAATGTAAACGTGTGATTTTACCCACAGACCACATTAAAATGGCCTAATTGCGCTCAAAATTTACCGAATTAAACATCAAAAGTACTGTCACTGGTGTTAAATCACCAAATTCCCTCCGATCGCAAAGCCCCCACGAAGCATTGGGTCTACATTAGGTTGTGCGCAGTTAGGACGCCGCCTGTACAATATGCGAACAAAGGCACTTTATCTCGGCAAGCCATTGACGTAGTACCGGCAGGTATAACGCTACGCTATTTCCTGAATTAAAGAGTGAATTACTCGCGCTTAGGTATTTGGTAAGTTTTATACCAACTTTATTTACAATATGATTGTGAAAATATCGAAAGAAATTGTCGAATTAATTCAAATGAGACCGGAGAATGTTGGCATGAATGCCGATACAATAAGAATTCAATATGGCGGATCATGCAAGGTACGCTAACCAGAAGCGAAGTGAGAAAATAACTTTAAGTAAACTTTCCTGAATTAAAAATAATATCAAAAGATCAGCAATCGACAGTTTTATGTTAAATTTTTAATTACAATTCATAATGCTCAATACTTCCTGCATTTGTGACCAATCGATTTTCAGAGAAACATGGCACTGTACGTGGACCATTCGTTAGTAATGGATAACTAGGTCACCGACCTGAATACGTTCTGCAGATTGCAGCCTATCAAAAATTGACTCTTACACTCTTATAATGTTTCGATTGGGATATGTGATTTAAATAAATGAAGATGGTAGTGAACAGTTCATGTTGTGTGTGATTTCATCGTAGATGAAGCTCGGTGGCTAATGGCGGACTAAAACCATACACAAGTTAATGTGACCGTGGCTGGGCTGGTAGGGTGCCACTGACAAGACTGGTTTCTACAGACGCGCATGAATATAAATGAGGCCGCTGCTTTGTGAAAATGAATTTTATGATATTTTCAATATCTTATCTCTATGTAGTTGCATCATATAGACAGAAGAAAGACGTAGTGCAACGATTCAACATGGCGAACCGATGTTGTTGTGGTTGTGTTGCATCGGAGCCAGACCACATCAACTTAACAATCACTCGAAGTAAATGGATATGTTTTGTATGTTAGTTACACTCCTCATCTTACCAATTAAAACAATCACAAGTTCATGACAATGGGAACAGACCAAGCAATGAAAGTCTGGTCGAACCAGACCACTGCCGGACAAAAGCGGACACAATCGGTCTGAAAGTTTTTATCAGCAAACACAAGTTGGGTCAGTAGATTTGTGGTTATAATAGCGACAATTAATTCAAGACGAACATGTCATACATCACACACATGGATAAAAAAACATCTGCAGACTAAAATGAACTCTTATTCAGACGGTAATCGTAATATAGGGAGATATTATGAAAATTGACATATCATTTCTGTACAAACAAGAGGCGCCATATTTGAGCCGACGATCAGAATACTGCTACACAAAAACATACGAGAATGAACAATTTTCCCAATATATTTACACCTATAACGCACTGCCAGTACATACAAGATAGTCATGGTTCAACTTTCGTCTTTTACGAGGTAGATTCGAAATCGTGCACTTCGAAATAAATTTGAAAATAGCCATGTCCCCCTTCCATAGGCACACTAAAGCACATGTTCGGCTGCCCCGAGGTCATGTAAACACCAAACAAAATGATAAAATGCAATTTAAATCAGGAAAAAAGTGAAGAAACAATCTGTACTACCTCTGACGCTGGTTTCTTCCTCGACTCCAACTCTATCCTTTTTGGCATTTCCATGTTTGCACGTTTTTAGTATACAATATCACCACCTACTTGCGGCAGAAACGATTGTAGAGAATCCAGAGTGCGCGGGCTGATCAATTGTTCCTAGAGGGGTCTCTGAATTGGTCAATTGTACCACCCCAAACATGTGAATCGGATATGAATATGAATGAGGCGTATGACTTGTCAACCAATCAACATCGAGGGATTCTATGATGTCATCCTACATTTCCCACAAACCACAACAAATTTTACACACGCGTTTTACTACGATCATGAGCGACAAAAAAGTTCATTCAGAAAAAGAATTAATTAATTTGCCTTAACTTAAAAATTAACAGCATTTCGATTTTATAAACCAAAAAATAAACAACCAATATCCTAATAGGAGTAACGTCAAGAAAGTTTATTAAAACAACCACAACAATTGATGTTTTTATTATCTTTATGTTATTAATATAACTAACAAATCATAAATTGTGTTAATTTATAAAGAGTTATACATCAGGTATCATAATGTTATTAAACTATTTGCCCCCCAAATAATCAAAACTACAGGGAAAGTCCTTTTAATACAAACCCTATCTCACTCCAGTCTTAGCTTACAGGTGGGTACCGTGATACATAAAGCTAGGAGTGAATTAATTTCACAATAATTGATATATATTGTTCAAGATTGAAAATAAATTTAATATATCTAACATATAATGAATTAATGTTACATACCATTACAAAATTATCAATAATGAACCCCTCATTTGAAAAAAAACCGAACAAAATATAAAATTTAACATCCAGTCTTAAACTTAGACTTGAGACACTTTCCTTTACCAGTTAATTCAAATTGTACTTCAGTATAAGTATGAACTTATTTCTAAAATACCATTCAATACCGGATGTTAAAATCCTTGTTAGCTTAACGAGTCGTTTACGAAAAAAATTAAATTCGCGTTTTTAGAATTTTCTGAATATTTATAATTATCTTTTACATTTGTTGTCATAAGATGCTCATTTAAATTACTTATACATACAACTTAAAATTTTACTTTTACTGTAAATGTAAAGTTTTAAATTTCATGTTAAGTTGTCGTTATTCCTATTAAGTTTTTTGCAAGTGGAACCAGATAATCTTCTAACTTTACAATAAAATAAACAAATGAATACGATGTACATTATTTTCTCACGTTTCACCTTAAAAGTCATTTCAAACATAAGTCAGGGTGTACAAAAATACATTCGTTAACAGTTACATGACTTGTTTTTGACGGATAACTAGATTACTAGTCTGGGAATCCATGCGAAAGGTTTGCTGCAATTTCTAATAAACGTGCTATTTTACTACAATTTCTAATTTACATGCAATTCGACTTCAATTTCTAATTTACATGCAATTCGACTTCAATTTATAATTAACATTCAATTCGACTTCAATTTCTAATAAACGTGCTATTTTACTACAATGTCTAATTTACATGCAATTCGACTTCAATTTCTAATAAACGTGCTATTTTAATACAATTTCTAATTTACATGCAATTCGATTGCAATTTCTAATAAACGTGCTATTTAATTACATTTTCTAATTTACATGCAATTTGCCTGCAATTTCTAATAAACGTGCTATTTTACTACAATTTATAATTTACATGCAATTCGACTTCAATTTATAATTTACATGCAATTCGACTTCAATTTTTAATTTACATGCAATTCGACTCCAAAGTCTAATAAACGTGCTATTTAATTACAATTTCTAATTTACATGCAATTTGCCTGCAGTTTCTAATAAACGTGCTATTTTACTACAATTTCTAATTTACATGCAATTCGACTTCAATTTCTAATAAACGTGCTGTTTTTACTACAATTTATAATTTACATGCAATTCGACTTCAATTTCTAATAAACGTGCTATTTAATTACAATTTCTAATTTACATGCAATTTGCCTGCAATTTCTAATAAACGTGCTATTTTACTACAATTTATAATTTACATGCAATTCGATTGCAATTTCTAATAAACGTGCTATTTTACTACAATTTCTAATGTACATGCAATTTAACTTAGATTTTAAAGTTGTTAGACAGCAGTTGTCTTGACTTGAAGGTTAATTGTTTATTTTACTAGCTAGAAACAGCAATTAGATATTTAAAAATTTAAAATTACAAACTTAACTTAAATGACTTGTTTTCTCCTACCTCTAATATCAGATCAGGTCATGGAAACAACATTTCTTCAATTTAATAACGTTCTCGATTTATAAAAATAAGATGAAGTCTAGTGACAATATTTCATCAAAAATTGATTGAAATGGTAACTTATTTAGTTTAAACTTAATTTTTATTGACGTCAAATTACAATAGTACATGGTTATAAATACAGAAAAGGATCCAGAAACAAGTACATAGTACTTATGTAAATCCGTCTCCTTAACTTATTTATGAGCTCACGTTAAAAAGCAACTCGCATGAAAGAGTAGATATACAATATTTTAAGTAAAAAGTGAAAGAGCTATGGCGGAAAACTGTCCGTATTTCCCTAAGTCGGTATTTTTGAAAACGGAAAAAAATATTGATGAGTTAGTAATCTTAAGTAGCAAAAATGCATGGAATAGATATAAAACCAATTGAATTTGAATTTTTGAACTGTTGAGATATTCGGTATTATTAATATAATACTGCAAATATAGCCCTATTCACTATATCTATGATAGTGAAGGGGTTTCCCAGACTTAAAAAAATACTTTCAATACTTTCCCATCCGAGGACCAACTTTTGAATAAACCTTTTGATTCCGTCATGTAATATGCAAAAACAAATCGTATTCCGGAAAAGTGGTCCTCCTTTGGGAAAGTGCTGAAAATAATGAAAAATTGGGTTGATCATGTTTTTAAAACTGCAAAAGATGTTTCTTGGGTTAAAGCAGTTTATATTTCCATTTTTGTCTATGTCCGATGTAGGTTCGAATTCACATTCAGATACACATTTTTATCTTTTTTTTTTATTAATATTTAGGCATGTGATCATTTTCCTTAATTAAGAGATAAATATTTTTTTCAAATCAATAGAACATTTTATTGATATTTTGATAACATACCTTTTGATTTATCTTCTATGGAATCATGTCAACAAATCCCTGTATGCGTGTACAGTACACCTACACTTTGTAGTTGAGACATCATTTTAAATATTTATGAATTGTTTTACCCTCCAATTGGCTCTAGTATTTTTATTCATTATCTTAACGCAAACAAACGATGCCGAAAAACAAAATATATGGGATTGTTGCGTCAGAATAAAAAGAAAGGCAAAGCAAAAAAAATGAAGATATTACCGAACATGCGGGAAAATTCATCATCGAGGCCAGTATCATTTGTTTTAAATGCAGGAAGACTGCAGCACAAAGTTAGGAGCGCAATTCACGTGTAAGACATGCTATTCGAAAACTATATGCAATTTTATCATTCCAAGGTAAAGGAAGAACAAAATCAAGATGTGTGTTTTTAAAAAACATGTAACGGCATGACGTAGGCAGTAGTAATGAAAACTAAATCCTTTCAAACTTGTTGGTAATGATTGTACGATCTTGTGTTTTATATAGCATAACGCGAAATACGCGAAATGCGCATACGCAGTCTTTATCGTGAAACGCATGTATTAATAGCCATGGCCTTGAATTCGTCTGTTTATAATACTCTATTCTTAGACACGGGAATCCGATAGAGCTACCTGTATAGAAATACCTGAGGACGCGTCATAACAGTGCACGGCTGGAAGCGCGCACTTTTGGGGAAATAGGCATAGCAACCCGCCATAGCTCTTTCACTCATATCATTTAAAAGTGAGAAGTGAAATTTCACAATATTTAAAGTGAGAAGTGAAATTTCACAATATTTAAAGTGATAAGTAAAATTTCACAGTATTTAAAGTGAAAAATTTAACAATATTTAAAGAAAAAAGTGGAATTAAAAAACATTGAAAGTGATAAATAAAAACAAAATTTATAGAAAAAGGTGAAACTTAACAATATTTAACGTGACAAGTGAAATCTTTACACTATTTAAATTAAGAACGTGAAGTTTTAGTTTCTTGTCACTAGGCTGTTCTTGCTAGAAGCCAGTGATTATTTTCTGTCATCGTCTAAAACAGTAGAGTTATATATTGATCGACGGTAAATAGAAATGAAACAGAGAAACTAAGCCTGGAATCTTTGTTAATTCTCCTCGAAGTAAGTTCCTAGCCAGCTGTTTATGTTACCATCAGTGACATGTATATACTTTAGATTTAATTAACAATTGAGATGTTCTGATCGATCTTCAATGACAGAATATTTTTCTTACGAGCTATTTAGGATTTTCTTATGACCGTAGCATTTTATTTAATACGCTAATATGTCTGTTTTCTGTTTAAACAGATTTGAAAACGATTTATTGAGGACTATAAATAGCTCCTGTAATGGTAGGCCTTTTTGACAGTATTGTTTTAAAAATCAAGTCACTTTGACTTGTAACAATAACAAAAATTTATAACAATGATTTTACACACAATCACATCATTTTCATTGTCATCATCATCGTCATCAGCATCAGAACCACTGGACAGAATTTCATCAATTAAGAGACTTTCTGCTGATCTATGAGATGGATATCCACACTATTTGGCCAGAAGTACACCCAGGCGGTGATGTAACGGAAGGCCAGGACGACTCTCAGGAGCTGAGGGGCGGGGAAACAAAGAGGTAATCATTTGGAAACTCTTAGGATCTCCTCCTTATAACTATTACCTGAAAACTGTACACTAGGAGAGAAGAACACAAGCATTGCCTATGAGATACACTTGCCCCCGGGAACTTAATACCTTGTTCTAAACATGGAAACGGTCGAGGTCCCCATCCCATGATAATATCAGGATTGGTCCTGAGGTTTTGTAACACAGCAGCCGTAGACACACGAAACCATAGTGTCACATTTTACCCCGCCCCTAGGATTGGTCCAGAAGTCTACCCCGCCCCCAGGAATTTAATTTCTGGGTCTTGGCATGGAGACGGTTGAGATGTCCACCGTATAACCATTTGCTGGACATGAAGAGAAGAATGCACTGGCGCTACCACGGTTGCTCCAGGGG